AACCTAAACAAACTTAAACTTAGATAGCTCGCAAAAAAATGTATAAAACCAAGCAATCTCATTCCAATACTATTGGAATCATACAATCAGCACCTTAAGTAAAAAAAAAATAAACCTAGAGATACATTTTTAATAGTACCTTGGGGTATAAAAGGCAGATGTGGTAAATTAAATGCACCTACAATAGCGAAGAAATTAAAAGCAAGACAAAGAAAAAAGACACCAAAAGCTTAAATAAAAGACTTGTCATCCGAATTCGACAACGCGTTTACTTCAGAGTTTAGTGACCCACAATCCGACTTGCCAATATCATTACAAGAACAAATATTGATACTAAACCTAATAAATGCACTTGTAGAAGAGACCCCTTAGAATATAATGGAAAACTAAAGTGATAAAAATCCGGAAATCATTGAAATTGAAGAAATAATCGAAAGAAATATTGGTTTTTCACCAGTGCTAACTAATATTCCATTTAAATCTTGTACATCCTAAGTCTACGATGTTAATTAAATGTCTGTAACATTTTAACATGATAAAGACTCTACTAATTCAGATAAAAAGACTTTAAATTTAACTACAATAAAACAAACGTTTTTAATATCTTTTCAACACTCTGTACAAAATTAGGGAAACTATAAAACTAAAAATAAAACGCAGTTATTGGATTAAAAATAAAATACTTAATAGAATCAAAACTTATTATGGTGGGATAGTAACGATAAGAAAAATGAAATACCAAGTAAATGTAACGTTTTTGGAGGAATGCAGTCTTTACCTACATCATCTACCGAACGTCATGACGGCAGTTACCATAATCGAGAACAAATAAATTCACTTTCATCGTCACCTCAAAATTCACTTTCCCCTACTATAGTAAATAAATTAATTGATGAAGTAATGAATGAATTTATTGCAAACGAAAATCCCATGAGAGCAAAATCTTAAACTAAATTACTCAGAAATAGTCTTACCAAAAACAAATTACAAAACTCTAATGATGAACTATTTAGAAAAACTTTATCACTTATAGAACAAAATAGTTATGAAAAAAAAGATGACAACCCTTTTTAATCGGAAAACATAGAAAATAAAACTGATTACGATACCAAAAAAACTTTCAATCAAATTGTTTACTGCACTCAAGCCATACAGCAGCGTTTAAATCTATACAGCAAAATTTGAACTTGGCTCGTGGCAAGGAACTAACAAAAATAGAAGTCCCGTTGACAATCCATCTAATATAACTGATAAAACAAATAAAAGCTGAATCAAGAAATGAGAGAAATAATTAAATGATTAACTAAAATTGGTAGACGTTAATACTACGCAAAACTGAGATCACTACATATTTTTACTAGTCGTGAACAAAAACTTGACTGCTAAAATAAAATTTAGCGTTTCACATACCTACTTTAATAATTTTGCATATGCATCAGTAAAATTACTATATCAGTAAAATATATCAGTATATATATAAATAAATAATATTAGTAAAAGAAGTTAGCACCACTCGTATTTCTAGAAAAGGTGAACACACCGATAATCTTCCTAGAGGAGTAATGCCGTCAATTTTATACGATAGATTACGTAATACAGTAAAAATTTGTTTTGGCACATTAAGTCAGGCAAGTCGCTTCAGATACAGTAGGCCTTTTTGGACAAAGTACATTTAGAAATAAGCACATTTTAACAATGTAAGGCTTACACCAAAAATGTTTTATTGCAGTTACTGTTTCTAACATACAAGCAAGGACTTTTGCCAATGTGTTATCAAGATATTTTATTTCAACTCTCAATACTCCTAGAATTATTCTCAGTGACAGTTTAAAAAGTTTTATTAATAGAGTATTGACAGAAGTATTAAAAATCAATGAATTTCGTTTAGCTCTCACTAGTGCATAGCACGCACAATCCAATGGTTTATTAGAGAGAAGCCACGTTATCTTAAACGATTTTTTAAGAACTTATGCTAAAAACGAAAATCATTAAGATGAAATGGTTCATTTTGCAATACATGAGTATCATGCCTCAGTTTACTTAGCAACAGGCCTTACACCTTTTGAGTTCGTCTTTGGTAGACAGGCACGCCCTCCATATTCACTTCCAGACTAATTCAAACTAGAAACATACAGATTATATGCTTGTGACCTTGCCTGCTGTTTAAGTACAATACAAGAAATAGCTTGTGACAGAATTGAAATATCAAATCAAACTACAATAACACGTTGTGACTGTAATTTTTGCTAATAATAATATTGAGAGATGCCGATGGATAGCACAGGACTCGGTTATGTATGTAGTTAACACTCAACTAGTCATAAGCATTTATTAGATAAAGAGACGATATACATTTAGAAGGCTTACACAGGAAAGGGCGCTCGCGTGCCGGCACGTCCAAACTCGACGATGCTTGACGAAGGTCTGCCTCATGCTCTCGCTTGAGGCTCGCAATACCAGTTACAGCACTTGTCGTCAGATCATGTTGGTGCTGTGACACAAGCGGACGCACAACCACACACACATACACAAAAATCCTCTCCACTAATTTACGTTACAAATACAATTATGAATCCAAACGTTGTGGAGTTTTTCGCACACGCAACGAGCGTCTGAGCTCTAGTGGAACAGCCACGGTTTTACAATGTTTCGTTGGAGGGGTTGGATTCCCCGCGCAACGCTTAACGCTGGTCGGTCTGGGCGTGCCTGCGACCGTTACAGGTTGCTCAATAACCTCAGCTGCTTCCGAGGCTGCATCAGGCACAGGACCATCGGGAACCACGCGAGCTGGCAGCACTTCAGGTGCGTTCCTGTCTATTACAATAGTGGAGTTCGGCGCCTGTTTTGGCATTTGAACTACAGACGGAACGAGCTAATTTTTTTCTCAACCATGCAACTGGTCCACGTGCCTCGATCACAAACGATCATCGTCCACCCTGACGTTATACATGACAGGCCCAATCCACTTTTCGATTGTTGCTTTGCGCCACGTATCAGTGCCACAGTCCTTTGCCATAACGGAGTCGTAAACATTAAAAGAGATCCTTCTATTACCTTTAAAGTTATCGCGCTGTCTTTCTTGATTAATTTCAACATTGACTCTCGCAGACGTATCGATTGCGCTTAATCACGTGCGCAGCTTTTGCCCTATGTGCAATTCTGCAGGTGTACAGCCAGTTGTGCAATGTGGCGTTGATTGGTACCAGAAAAGGTATTTAAGCAAGGCATCATGCCGTGACATCTTCTAAGTTAGCGCTTTAAACTTGACCTTAAAGGTACGGACCATGTTTTCTGCTGATCCGTTTGAGGCGGGGTGGTACGGAGCCGAGCGAACGTGTCTGACATTATTTCTTCTTAGAAACGATTGAAACTCCTCGGACGTAAACGACGGGCCATTGTCAGACACATTTACTGTCGACAACCCCCGCACACTAAAATAGTCTTTTATCACTTTAATTGTATTTTGACTTGTTATGCTATTCATTTCACGAACATCTGGTCATTTCGAGTACGTGTCGGTAATTACGTAATACATGAAACCGTCGATTGGACCGCAAAAATCGATATGAATTCGTTCATTCGGGCCTTCTGGCCACTTCCACACATGTAGTGACGCTCGGGGTGGGTTACTGTTTAGAGTCAGGCATGCTTTACATGACTTTGCCATATTTTCCAAATTTTTGTCGATCCCCGGCCACCACACGTATGATCTAGCTAGCGATTTCATCTTCACTATACCGAGATGAGCGCCATGAATTTCCGATACTACTTCTGCAGTTAAATTTGACGGAATGATAATTCTATGGCCCCACAACAGGCAATCGTTTTTGACTGCCAGCTCAAACTGTCTAGAATTAAACGGTTTAAGCTCGTCACTGACCTTTTCCGGCCACCCGTTGTACAAAAAATCGCGTACTTTGCACAGAGTTTGATCGTTTAATGTTTCGCTGCGAATTCTTCGCAATCCAACAATTTGCAGTCATTCGTTCTGAAATTTGAGAATGTGTATCTTCTTTTTCAATTAAATCCGAGTTTGCTTAAAAATTGTCAATCAAAACGCGCAAAAGTGCATCAGCAGGTCCGTTTTCCGCGCCTTTAATGTGTTTCATTAAAAAACTGTATCCCGCGAGAAACACAGCCCAACGCTGGACTATACTAGCCGCCATTTGCGGCATTCCTTTTTTCTCGCCAAAAATAAACGATAACGCTTTATGATCCGTTTCCAGCATAAAATATTGACCATAAATGTATTGATGAGACGCACGAACCTCAAAAGCCAGTGCTAACGCCTCTTGGTCCAACTGAGAATAGTTTTGCTCAGCTTTTGTTAACACTCTCGATGCATACACTACAGGTTTTGATTCGTCCGATGGAAAAATGTGAGAGAGCACGGCTCCCAGGCCCTTTGGCGAAGCATCATATGTGACTTTTATTGGTAAATGTGAACGGTAGTGTATTAAAACTTCGCGCGACGTTAACTTATTTTTTGCTTCTTTGAATGCTCTGTCTCACTCGGGAGTCCATTGCCAAGTCACTTTCTTCCTTAACAACTCATACAGTGGGCTCATAATTTGTGCGTAGTTTTTAACAAATTTTAAATAATAATTTAACGCCCCTGAGATTGCTTGAAGTTCTTTTACATTTTCGGGAGCTTTCATATTCACGAACGCTTCTATTTTATTCTGCGCTACACTTAAACCATGCTCATCGAGTTGATATCCTAAAAACGAAATGCTTTTCTGCGCAAATTGACATTTTCCCAACGCAACTGTTAAATAATTTTCTCTGAAACGTTTTAAGAATTCTTTCAATTTTTTCTCATGCTCTACACGAGTTTTACCAGCAATAAAAACATCGTCAAAGTACGTTACTACACCCGGTAAATCATTTAATAACTTTTCCATAGTTCTTGGGAATAAACCCGGCGCCGATGCTATTCCGTAACTCAGCCTATTCTACATGAATAAGCCTTTGTGCGTCGTTATACTTGTTAATTTCTTTCATTCATCATCTAACTCGATCTGCTGATAGACGTGAGTGAGATCCAATTTTGAAAAAAATTTACCACCCTCCAATTTTGCTACTAAATTCATAACCCTCGAAATCGGGTGTCTATCAACTCTTAATTTCGGGTTTACCGTAATTTTGTAGTCTTCACATAACCTAATCTGTCCGTTACTTTTCAAATTTGGAACTACCGGCGTAGCCCAATCGTTACTTTTGACAGCCGTAATGATTTGAGTTTCTTCCAATCTATCTATCTCTGCTTTCAGTTTCTCACGCAATCCAAAGGGTACTGCTCTTACTTTACTAAGCACAGGCATGGCACCTTTTTTTAAAAGCAATTTAAATATTTCACCTTTGAACAAACCCGCTTACTTTGAGAACACATCTTTAAATTCCGAAATAATCACATCTAACAACTCATCCCTTACTCTGATTGAGTTTATACTTATGTTTTGATCGACTTTATTGACTTTTATCATATTTAACGGAACTAACCATTCTCGGCCCATGATTGGTGTTTTCAACGCACCCGGGACTACAAAAATTTCCAATTCTGCCGTTTTTGCTTTGTGTTGAACTTTAACACGAATCACCCCCAACGGAACCAAACGCTTTTCTTGCAGTGTATTAAAAATACGTGACGACTTGTACAGCCTTAAATCTTTGAGATTTTTGCATTCCTTCAACTTTTCTTTTGACATCGCGGTTATTGGCGACCCCATATCAATTTTAAAAACCAACGGTCGAGTTTCCACTAACACTTCAAAAAGAATCAGCGCGCTTTGATTTACACGTTTCTTCGCGTCCCTACTCTGCAACGCAAAACACAGACTCGCTTGACGTATTGGGGTCCTCTTCCACGAAATGCTGTGAATCCGTGGAACGCTTTGCCTGCCCTTGTTTTTGTTTACTTGCTTGGTTCGCGCTCGACTCTCCTTTCCTACGACACATAACACGCAAATGCCCTGCCTTTCCGCAGTTGTTGCACTTAAAGTCTTTATATCGGCACGCTGCCTTTTGATGATTACTCTTACCGCAACAGTAGCAGGTCCCTGCAGCACGTTGTTTTTCTTCTTTGCGATGACCTTTTGTTTTCTTCTTGTCCACAACGTGTTTGATCGGCTCTCCCGCCGTTGACGACAGGCGCATCCCTGCGACATCACGACTCGCCGCCTCCAGTGCCTGCGCAATTTCCACCGCTTTGTTGAAGGATAAGTCTTTTTCACCCAGCAACCTTTTCTTTGTTGCGTCACATGCGAGCCCCCACACGAACTGGTTTCTTAAGCTATTTTCCAGCGTTTCAAATTCACAAAATGTCGACAAGCTTTTCAACTCAGCTACAAAGCTTTTCACTCCTTGATCTTGCCTTTGTCTGCACTCTTTAAATTTATACCTTTTCATAATTACACACGGCGTTGGTTGCAGGTGATTTTTCATCGTTGTCGCCAACTCTCGCAACGACAACTCAGCGGGCAACCTCGGCGCACACAAGTTTCTTAGAAGACCGTACGCTTCTTTTTCTAACAGCGTCAAGAACAACGACACTTGTTTATTCGCGTTCACCTTGTTCGCAACACAATATTGTTCGAACCGCTCAAACCACAATGACCAGTTTTCTTCAATGGAAAATTCGGGCAAGCTCCCAATTGTTCCTTTAACAATTGTTTCAACAGTCCTTTGAGAGTTGCCACCAGCCAAATTTGCCAAATCTCGCGCCGCAGCGACCTTTTCTCTTTCCTCGAGGTTTCTCGCCAGTCTTTCATTATCCTCGTGGATCTTCAACACTTCGGCCGTAAAGCCTTTCCACTCTTTCGCTGACAGGGTTTCGACCCGTTTGCCTCCCCATATCATAACACTAACACTTAGTTCTGCCGATTGCCTTTTCACACACTCTCACCCTGCCACTGTACCATCCGAACGTGAATGCAGTTAATCCTCGTCGCCAATTGTAATGTTTGCTAATAATAATATTGAGAGATGCCAATGGATAGCACAGGACTGGGTTATGTATATTGTTAATACTTAACAAGTTATAAGCATTTATTAGATAAAGAGACGATATACATTTAGAAGGCTTACACAGGAAAAGACGCTCGCGCGGCGGCACGTCCACGCTCGACGATGCTTGACGAAGGTCTGCCTCATGCTCTCGCTTGAGGCTCGCAATACCGGTTACAGCACTCATCGTCAGATCACGGTAGTGCTGTGACACAAGCGGACGCACAACTACACACACATACACAACAATAACAGTAAGTCAAAGCCACAGAACTTGAAAGTTGGACTGACACTCTACGTGCTCAAAGAATTCCGAAAAGTAAAATTAGATAGATGTTAAAATAGAATTTTTAAAATTAAAAAAATACATAGTAATTATAATGTCATATTAGAATCAGAAAATGGAAGAATGAATGACAAACATATTGACGAAGTAAAACAGTGCTAGCTATGAGAAAAAAAAAATTTCTAAATAATTGAAACTATATAAATAAATGCAATACTATATAAATAAATAAATTTCTTACACTTGTTTTACAAATTTCATTACAAACCACTATTACATTCTAATGAATAAAGTATAAATTTATCATTATATGCACATGTACAAAATAATCAATTTTTTTTTTTCCTATTAAAATTCTAGTTCACCTGATTAAAACTGAATTTGGTGATACCCACCGATATAAAAAAGTTGTTACCCATACTGTTCTTCAATATGAAAAACTGGATAGATCGGAAAATATACAATAAAATCATCAAATAATAACCTTAAGCTATGCACATCAACTTCACAAGATGAGATTCCTCGCAATAACCGTTGATATTTCTCCTGATACAATACATCACGTTCTTGAAAATTACAAAAAGTCCGCTCAATAGGCTTGTCAAAAACCCCTTAGCCCAACCTACGGTAAAGCCTAGCTGTGTTAATATCAGAAATAAGAAAAAATGAGAGGAAGAACAGAACTTATTTAGAAAAAAAAATATATATATTTTTTTACATGAATCACACCACTACTTACACTAACTCATATAAATCTCCTGACATTATCTCTAATAGGAGTAACTCCAAAATTGATCTGTATCTTGTCTCTTCAAAATGTTCATTTGCCAGGCTATAAAGTTACTTTTTCTTTCTATAATACTCCTCCACTCCAATCTAATTAAAAAAAATAAATTAACAAGCACTATGACCTTAACTTTTTTACAAAAGTCACGTTCAGCGACACAGCACCACGCACCATTCTACGAAATTAATTGAGAAAGATACTGACAATACTTCAACGAACGAATAATCACTGAGAAACAAACATTGTTTCTTCCAGAAGAAAAAAGAAAAAGAAATACATAAAATCAATTATCAACGAAATCTACGACTTGAGCAACTAGCCTACAAAATTACTGACGTAATAAAAACTTACCTTTGTTTCACCTAGGTATATAGAACTAACATAGCGGAAAAATTGGTGAAAAAACAAGTATATATATATATATATATACATACACATGTATATGTATATGTATTTATAAAGTAATCATAAAATATTCTACTCACGAATTCAGTAATTATATATAATTAATTTTATATTTAATTTGCAGAGAAACTGTAAATGTTTGATCTTAAGCAAAAGAAGCCTACAAGGAGAACAGCAATGAAACTTTAATCACATGGCTTCTCTACTCTTCCTTAACTTTCTCTTTGGTAATGCTAAACAGCAGTCCTACAGTAATAGCGACCATTATCATCACTATATTGACTGAATGTGACTGAAAAAAATTCTACCTACACCGTAAATGTAATACTTCAATTATGAAACTAACAAAACAATAATTTGTGGAAAAAACACATAGCATAATTAACACCACTTAACGCACGCATGTTTATTAAGCAACTTGATACCTACATTGCTTAACGATGAAAGCAAGAGTGTTGAATAATTTTTTAATTTTTTTAAAAAAAAGCAAAAGGGGAATATACATCTACAATGTGTGATAGCTCTGAGGTCAATGTTCAATAATACGCTGACATATGGTACAGCCAGACTTGTCGTAATAATGCACGTATGTACTAAAATCGTATTATATGTACGAATGAATAAATCGTACTGAATGTATAAGTAAATAGTTTACTTGCGCATTGATTGTCCACTTCTAATAACACTGACTTTCAGATTTGTAAGTAACACACTATAGTATTTTATTGTATTCAAAATTCATTTTAAAATCCCCAGAAAAATTAATTTTAAAATGTGCAAACTTACTGTCACAATTAAATTTGTATTTACCCTACTTATGTTGCTGATGCAAGCTTGCATCATCAGCACTGATCCAAAAAAACTTAATCGCACTTGTCAAAGAAATGTGATTGGTACTGTTGTACTGTTATTCCCTAATATATAAAATCATAGCAAGTAACATTATCGTGAAATTCTACTGTTTTGCTGTCAACGCAAACTGCAAGAACATCGCTCATTAGTTGACCAATTTTAACCAAAGGCCTCTTTTACTCGCTCCAAGGCTATAAGAACTCACCATCAAGAGGAAAAATCGCTTTTTTACGTATATCACCTGTTCTCTAAAAATTAAGTCTACTTTTAACTCCTGCAACTCGCGAGTACCTTATACATGTAATACATAATGTGTTGGCTAAGGCAACTTGGGTGCAGTTCAAGAATATCAATAATATCAGACTACGCTAAGGAGCGAGATACAACGAAAGAGGCTCGCCGGAAGTGGTTCCAGCGATAGCAGAGAACGCAAAAACCGCAACCTCTTACAGGCCACGAACTCATTCGTGTAGTTTAAGTAATCACTGGAAATTACTGCATGAGGCATTCGGGAACTCTAAAGCAGTAGTAACAACAGTCAGTGATACATAAAAGTTTTCATCAGTAATATATTTAATATTAAAATCTGTGAAGTCACCTGAATGGACTGCATCTAAGATGATACCTGTTTTGCATTTTTTTAATAAAACAATCAATAATTGAACATGTTTTGCATTGTTTTAATAAAACAATCAATAATTGAACATTAATTTAATTATTTATGTTATTGAAATAATTATCTTAACTTGTTTAAAAATAACAAATAAAGCTCACGAGCTAAATTCTAAGAGATCCACGAATAACATTAAAAAAACTGTTAATACCATTCTTTCAACAAGTCTGGTAACAACCCTTGAAAGTTGCCTGATACAGTGGTACTGAATATCTATGAGCAATAAGAGTGGTACAGGTTGGATACAAAACCTTAATTAGTAAGAAGAAAAAAATCAGACTGACCAGCATAACTTTAACGATAATAATTCTAATGAAAGTGAGTCTACTCAGAGCACGATATCTAGTGAAGGTAGCAAGTTAATCTATTCTCTGGGGTAAGATAACTGGAAAATTTTAACGAACCATCTTGAATTTTGTATTATTGATTAAGATATAAAAGATGAAAAAAAAAATTATTTACTCTTATGACTCGCGTTGATCAGGAAACATTTAGCGTTATTAAGCAGCTAGTGGTACCAGCTAAAATCATCAAAAAAAAATTTGAAGATACAACGAAACTGATGCAACAGTATTTGAATTCCAATCCCTTTATTTTTATAGTACGTCTCGTTTTTTATTTGGTAAGATAAGAACCTTATGAGTCGGCTGCAGATTATGCTGCAATGTTAAAGAGATTATCGTTAAAATTTAAAATTTCAGATGTTTTAACGGCTCTATATGATCAGCTTGTAGGTGAAATTTGCGACAGAGACATCCCAGTTAAACTTTTTGATGATTAAGTTTAGTCTACGAAAAGGAACTAAAATCGTTGGTTCTGCTTGAGGCAGCCGTTAAAAACAATTGACATTCTCGAAATACGCTTTAAAAAATTGACGAAAGGAATATGTACGTGTTTTAAAAGGAGATCCTTGAGAAAAAAAAGCGGCAACGTGGTCATTAAGAAAATCGTGGACAACAAAAAGAACGGCAAAGTGAGAAAGTATTCAGCAATAATCGACAACAAAATCAACAATGAAATTATAAGTTCTGCAATCGACTCATTACGAGTGCTACTGCTGCAAGCGACCAAACCATAAGAGTATTGAATATCGTTAGAAGGATTACGACTTTAACTATTGTCTTAAAAAAGAGCATATAGAAAGAGCATGCAGATAGAAAACTAGATTAACTTAGAAGAGTGAGGAAGAAGTGAAATGATGTTGATAACAGAGAAAGATTCCATCAGAGCAATGGCTAGTGCATTACATTAAGACTATTTTTTCTGTTTACGATGACGTACGATAGAAAGCGAAAATAATACGCGTGATAAAGCAAGTAGCAAAGTAGATCAAACGCGTAACAACTTTAGTACAAGCGTGAATGAAAGAAATGACGAAGCTAATATCCGATGTTTGTGAATATAATAATAAACGGTAGAAAACTTAAAATCAATACTGGGACTGATGCGACTGTAATTTCAGAGAAAAATTTCAGAACATATTTTAATCAGATAAAAGTAAGTCAAACAAAGTGAGTTCTTCGAACGTATGACGAACGAGTCTTATGTTCGACTGTAAAATAAGGTAATTTATTAGTTAAATTTAATAATAAACAGCTTGTACTAGATTGCTTTGTATTACAGGGATATGGTTCTTGTTTGATCAGGTATTAATGGTCAAAAGCTTTTAATTCGTGGCGTTTAATGAATCCAAAAATAAATATACATTTAATGCATGATGCTAAAAGCAAAGAAAGTTTGTCAAGTTGCTTTTTGGATAAATATAAAGATTTATTCAGTGATTTACCTAACCTCTATACGAAAATTAGAACAAAAATTCATGTTGAAGAGGGTAAGCATCTGATTGCTTT